GCGCACTCCTGGCTTTCATCTTCCGCATCATCGCCTAGCATGAGAGCCGAACCGGTCAAGGTTGAGTTGGCTGGTCCTCTAAGCCGGTCATAGCTCAACCTATTAGGGGTCTGAGTCCTCCTTCTCCCCCTTCCTTCCTCCTCTGCTGCAGGGACTTGAATGCTCTCATGGCGTTGCGGTAAATCTGCTCGGTTCCCACGAGCACTTGTAGCACGAGGCGGAAGTGACGGTGCACGCTCATCACCTTGCTGCACCTCCTCCTCCTCCTCATCCCCATTCATTTGAGGAGATTGCCTCGTGATTGTGCTGCTGCTACTCAACTCTAAGGGCAGCTCCACATGCTCCAAGCCGGTCCTCTTCACCTCTCCAAGCCGCACACCAATCTTCGCTTGGTTCTCCGCCTTCCACTCCTTGTACGGTAAGTTCTCCATGAACTTGCAATCTCTGCTCACCAAGAACTTCTTGGTAAATGGGTCCCAAAGAAGCCATCCCTTGCTCTTTTTAGCCATGCCCAGGTGCACGGCCCATGTTGCCTTGGCATCAAGCTTGTTGTGCCGAAGTTTCTTAGGCACAAGTGCCATGCACATGCACCCGAACACCCGAAGCATATCCACCTTCGGCTTCCTTCCAATCCACTCTACATAGGGCACCCATTTGTCTTCTCCCACATGAGTCAAGGCTCTGTTCTTAGCCACACAAGCATGCCGCACCGCATCCGGCCAAAAGTAATTGGGAAGACCGGCTTCAATGAGAAGTCCCCGAGCCGTCTCCGTGAGTGTCCGATTCGCACGCTCGGCGATGCCGTTCATTGCAGGAGAGTAGGGCATGGTAAGAGAGTGCCTTATGCCCTGCTTCTTCAGCCAAGTTGAGAAATCCTTGCTCAGGAACTCTCCCCCACGGTCAGTGTGAATCGCCTTCACAAGTCGGTCTTGTTGCCGCTCCACCATCGGCAACCAATCGGTCTTCACCGTTTCAGCTACATCACTCTTCTTGGGCAGCACATACACCCATGCGAGTGTAGACGTCCACAATGGTGAGGAAGTACTCAGCTCCAGCAGCTCCAAGCTTCAAGGGGCCCACCACATCCATCACCACCTCATCAAGTGGTGCCTTTGCCGTTGTCTCCGAGCTATGGAACAGGTAGCGGGTGAACTTGGCTTGCATGCATGTTGGACAGCCAAGCACCTCATTGGGCTCCCCCTTGACACGTATCCCTCTGACCATCTCTTGCTTAACTATCTGTTGCAAAATGGGCAATGCCACATGCCCCATTCGCCGATGCAAGGTCAGCCAATCACACTCTCCCGTAGCGGAAGTCGGGTTGGAGAAAGTGGCACTCGCAATCGTGCCCCACAAGCTCTCTCCTTTCTCCTTCGCCGCTGCTGCTTTGCTGATCTTAGGCTTCTCCTCCTCATTTCCACCACCTTTGGCTGCTGCACCACTCTCCTTGGGTTCACACGCCTTGCTGGTCTCTCCAAGGTTGCACTCCTTCGAGTCACTCTTGGTGTCACTTTGTTTTCCGTGATCACCGCCACCAACCGCTTCACTCTTGGTGCTGACGCTTGCTGCCACTTGCCTCCCCTTAGGCATGGGGACCACTGAGATTTGCCACATCTCATTGTAGATGTCCCTGTCCTCATGAAGGTCCCAAAGCTTCCGCTCACCAAGCCTCGCGGTATATGTTTTGGAGCCCTTGGAAGATGTGTCCATGCCAGCCTTTTGCAAACGCCGAACAGAGATCAGGTTGGCTGCAAGGTTGGGCACCCAAAGCACGTTCTTGAGGCCCACCATCTTCCCATCAGCACCCTTGAACATGGCCTTGCCCATGCCTTTCACCTCTGCTCGTTGCCCCAAAGCCGATGTAACATGCTTGACCGGCGACGGTTCGAGTTCGGTGAGCAAGTCCGCACGAGGTGTCATGCTGTAGGTGGCGCCGTTATCGATCACCCAAAAGTCCAGAGAGTGAAGGGTGACCTTTCCCACAGTAGCTGGCTCCTCAAAGCCTTCCACACCTCCTGCTGCAGCTGCCGCTTGCGTGGAGACAAAGAAGAATTGGCCCGGGTATCGATCTTCACTCGAGTCCTTGTCGTAGTCTCCACCTTTCATGCTTGCCGCTTCGCCTCCACGGCCACCACGGCCTCCACGACCTCTGCCTCTTCCTCCCCTTGCTCCTCTGCCCTCTTGGCCTTGAGAAGAGGTCCATCCATCAGGCAATCTGAAGCAATCTCTCCACATGTGGCCGGTCTTGTGACAAAAGTGGCATTCGCCATCAAATCGACCGCGCCCACGCCCGTAGCCATTGTTGTTGTTGCTGCCATATCCTCCATTACCACGGCCTCCACTGAAGTTACTGCTGCCAAATCTTCCTCCTCGCCCTCTGCCCCTTCCACGGCCGTGCCCACGGCCCATGCTTGCAACTCCGGCACCATCGGGACCCGCCAATTCGCGACGGCGGAAATATTCTTGTAAGATTTCCCGCTTCACATCTTCGAGTGAGAGACGGGGCAGATCTTGATTAAGGTTGATGATGAGCGAGAACCATGAGTCCGGAAGTAAGGCTAGCAGCTTGGTCTTCTTTTGAAGGTCACTGTAGTTCAGGTCAGCTCCTTCGAGCCGTGTCAATAAGTCGAAGAATTTCTGCACTCCTTCCTCCACCGGTTCGCCTTCGTCAATTCGAAGTGCCGCCATTTGCCGCTCCAAAACCACAGCCACCGCCGCTGTCGCAGGAGCGTGTACACCATTGAGAGCAGCCCATGCCTTTGGTCCCTTTGCTGGTTCACGCTGAAAAGGCTTAGTGTGACGGATTTGGCTGCTCCCCAACGCTTGCCCAAGTAGAAGGTAGCCTTGTGCTCTCTTCCGCACCCACGGGCTCTTCTCCGGGTCGTTCTCGGGGCGCTTCTCCGTTCCTTCCATCACCTCCAGCAGATCATAATGGTCAAAGATGTTCTCCATCTTGAAGGACCACTCAGCAAAGTTGTCACCGTTGAACTTGCCAAGGCCAAACACTCTAGGCTCATCCCTAGAGGGTCCAAGGCTAGGTTGCACCGGAGCAACGGGTGGATCTTGGTGTTGACCTTGTGCTTGGGCGTCTTCTCTGCCTCCAACACCTCTGCCACCCCCTTCCACAGGCCTAGGCATGGTCGAGACGGCTCCAAGGGGCTCTGATACCACTTGTTATAATCACAATAGGCTTAGATGTGCCTATAATGAGAGATAGAGAGCACAGTCGGATTTCCGTCAGACGGCTTCAAATATCGATAACGATCTGGTCGCTGAATCAAACGGTGATCTGTAAATTGTATCTGGAGCGCGTTGCTGTTGTCTATCAGCAGCAAGTTGAATCATAGAATTCCATGAAGCTTTGAGGACGCTATGGCGGTTTGACTGGCAGGAGGTAAAGCAGCCACTATAGTCTTAGAAGTACAAACTTAGCAAGAAGAGTTCGAGAGGGAGATGGTTCCCAGCCTCTACATACCCCAACAGCCAAGGTCCAGGTTGGTGGTACACCACCACAGAGTCCCCAACCATGAAGAGTCTCGAAACCAACCCTCCAAGGGGCTACACCAAGTGAAATGTAACACTACACGAAGTAACGTTACTATTTTCACTATTTAGTATTTATCCGCGTCCCTTGGGCTTGAAATCTTGAGCTCTTGTTCTTGGATCTGCAAGATAAATTCTTCTTGAGTTGATGGGGGCTTGCTGCACACACCTGCGACATGATGGACACTTCACACTCGACAAAATAGAAAAAACACATGCGACACACAAACGACGACTTGACATGCAAGTTGTAGAAACTCGCTAATGTCTTGACCGACACAAACCACATTGTGATACACCATTCAAACACACACACAAGCACTGGATAGCAATGACATAGACTCACAATTCATTCCATGCCATGCATGCACACACACAAACAAGGACGACAAGCCGAGTGCAAGCCATAGGGTTGCACCAACACATGCCATGCCGAGTGCGTCACCCCAATAGTGTAGAGGCAGTCCGCTATCCGCCATCATGCTTCTTACACTTTCCAGTAGAGATCGGTTCACCCGCTCTGCTATGCTGTTGTGTTGAGGAATGTGCGGCACTGTTAGTTGCCGCCGAATGCCCTTTGACTTCAAGTAGCTCTTGAACTCTTGATTGATGAACTCGCCACCATTGTCCGTCCTTAGTACTTTTAGTTTCCTTCCGCTTTGCCTTTCCGCTTCAGCCTTCCAGTCGAGGAAGCTTGCGAACACTTCAGATTTGTTCTTGATCTCCGTCACCCATGTATGTCGTGTGCCAAGGTCGGTGAAGGTAACAAAGTACTTGCTGCCATGTCGGGAAGCCACCCTCATAGGCCCACAAACGTCGGCAGCCACGATGTCAAGTATGTTGTATGGCTCCCGAACCTCATGCTTGGGGTGAGAAGTCTTGGTAGCCTTTCCTTCCGTGCAACTCAGCTCTTTTTCTGTATCCTCTATCACCTTCACCCCCACTGCCATGTTTTTCTTGATCAACTCCTTGATGCGCGTATGTCCAGCATGCCCCAGCCTTCGGTGCAGCAGGTTGACGTCCACTGGTGTCACCGTTGCTGCCTTGGGAGGAGCTTGCTGCTGGAGTTCTTTGATGGGCGTCTTCTCTAGCATGGTACGAAGCTCGTCCCTTGCTGTCTTCCCTTCCTCCGGTTCAGAAAGGTATGTAGATCTTGCACCATCTTTCTGCTTTTCATGTAGCTTCATCTCGTACAGCCCTTGCTTGCGTGCGCCTTCCGCTAGCACCTTCCAGTCAGGGCCGAACACCCATAGGCGCCCCTTGTCACTGTAGGTTTTGCATCCGCTGTTGTCCAGCTGTGATTGACTGAGTAGATTCAGAGTTAATCGGTCCACCAGCAACACGTTGTCCAACTTTAACTCTCCATATGCCCCTTGTAACACCATATCTCCTACCCCTTTCACTGGAAGCTGCCCTTCATCTCCCAGCTGCACAAATGGGACCGTAGAAGCTCTGAA